TAGTTTCTTGCGTTTAAGTGTTGGAGCAAGAGTTGGATTAACTGAAATAGGCATACAGCCAAGCCTATTCAATGATTAGGTCTAGAAGATGTTTTAGGTCTAAAACAAAGCAGTGAACAAAATTGAGCTAGATTTATCATGCGGTTATAGGCCTAATTATGTTGCTTTTATCAAATGCACGAACGCTTAAACACCAACAGTAGACAACAAAACAAAACTAGATATCAAGTTCTGTTGAACTATTATAATAGCTAAATTTACTTTCCAGCACTCTAATTATAGAACACCATTACTAAAAACGTTTCCCTCTTTCCAAAAACACGGGGTCTATTTAAATAGCGCACTTTCCGACCGTGCCATTGAAGCAAAGGTAGAAATTCCGTGATTGTGTCTCTCATTTTATTGTGGTTTTCTGCCGCTTGTTGAGCCGCATCTCTTTGCTCGGCAACACTCGCGAGTTTCCGATACTAAATTTCCGGAATATTCTCCATAAATGGACGAAGGGGTGTATCTGTTTACCGGATGAAACCATTTATGGTGTAAAAATGAACCGGAATTCCTGATTAAGAATGATGCGTTGTATCAAAACGGAAGATTTTTGTTCCACTTAGGATTCGTTATCTTTCAGCGAGCGTGTGACTTTAGCCTATTTACGTTATTTTCTTTTATCGAAAAATATTTTCAAACAATATGCAATATACTTTGTTATATTTTTTCTCCAAGCACATTGCTCTTTATGCATGAGCGGCTGTAGAGAGAAGATTCTCCATTGACAAGTATTACCCCAACGCGTCACGCAGTCTATAACCAATCAGATCGCGCAGCGCTACTTTTCTTTTGCCATTCAGTCCTTAAATGGTCAGTGACGTAGTGACACATTGATAGGCTCACCATAAATACATACTACCACTAGAAGCTCCGCAAGATCTGTCATTCAACAACACAGAGCCGTCAGATGGCATCACTGACAACCCGTTTACTGACAGCGTTCCACATGTAACGTTTTGAGCGAGCGTTCGCACAGGCACAAAACACTTTGTGAACATCAGAACGAGTGCTTCTTAGGACTTCATGATGACAGCTAAAACTTTGGAGAAAGCCCCCGTAACTCTGGGTGGCTTTGTGCACCCGCTTGCCGAAAGCATCTACTCAGTGGACGAGCTTGCCACATCACTGCCAGCATCTGTGACTATATTTCCAAACGGTGATTTAGGAGGACATTACGAGCAGATGCACTCTGGAGGTAAGAATGATGCGCGCATCCGACTGCTTCCATCCTCACGTGCTCTCTGTGTTGATGTATACCGTTCGCATCTATAGGGTATTCATTGGGAATTTTGAATGGTTAATCCAACTTGCTTAAACTGGAGACATTGTGACTACTTTAAAAAGTAGTGCTATGCCTAATGATGAGTTTACAGTGAGCATCTTTACTGATGTGTGCGTAAAAGCTATGAGCTTTATGCATCTGACGGTTCCATAAAACAGCATTCTTTCACATCACGTGTATCTAAACCTTGCTTTTATGTTCATTTTCTTGCAGATGGCTTGCTTAGCGGGGATATGAGCACGGATAAGCGCTCCCTCGACTTATCCTATTCCAGCAGCTTTGCGCAACCAACTGGCCCTCGAAACCAAACTTTCACCTACATGGGAAAGTTTTCCATCGACTCCCAGTACCCAGGAAACTGGAACCCAGAGGGCGTGATAAACATCGTGAGCGCGGGGATCCTGGGCATGACCCAGCCATCCTCAGCATCCTCGTCACCAGCATCCTCAGTGTCCCCCGGCCACTTCTCCAGCACTCTCAGCTGCACCATGGCGCAGAACCAGGCAGACATGGAGCACATATACTCTCCCCCGCCACCCTACTCTGGATGCGGGGAGATGTATCAAGACCCATCCGCATTCCTCTCCACCTCCACCTGTCCGATCTCCTATCCTCCGCCATCCTACTCATCCCCAAAGCCAAACGCAGACTCCGGGCTGTTCCCCATCATCCCGGACTACGCCGGCTTTTTCCAACCCCCGTGCCAGAGGGACATGCAGTCGATGCCCGACCGCAAACCGTTCTCATGCCCGCTGGACTCTTTCAGAGTCCCGCCCCCTTTAACCCCCCTGAACACTATCAGGAACTTCACACTGGCGGGACCGGTATCTGATGGACCCCGGCTACCCACAGCCTACAGCCCGCAGAATTTACCCCTCAGGCCCATCCTGCGCCCGAGGAAGTACCCCAACAGACCAAGCAAGACGCCCGTGCACGAGCGCCCCTACCCTTGCCCGGCGGAGGGCTGCGACAGGCGCTTCTCCCGGTCCGACGAGCTCACTAGACACATCCGCATCCACACCGGGCACAAACCCTTCCAGTGTCGGATATGCATGAGGAACTTTAGTCGCAGCGACCACCTGACGACCCACATCCGCACGCACACCGGAGAGAAACCGTTCGCGTGCGACTTTTGCGGGAGAAAGTTCGCGCGGAGCGACGAGAGAAAGAGACACACCAAAATCCACCTGCGACAGAAGGAGAGAAAATCCTCCTCTTCGTCCTCTGGTGTGTCCAGCTCGGAGCGCGGCGTCGCCACGGGCATCTGCTCGTCCGCTTCAAGCCAGTAAACTTTAACTGGACTGTGCAATATCCAACACTATGTAGGCAATATAATGACGATAATAATGCACCATTCGTAATATATTAAAACTGGGTGAAGTGATGTTGTGAAATCAAGTGCCAAATCGGTATGGACACATTAATTGTGCGCACTTTTGAAGGTGGTGCGATGTTCGTTTTCCTTTTGCCTCAGTCGCATGCTGACTGACCAAACGCACTTTTTTAAATATATATTGAGGGCAATTAATTTAATAATAATAAAATAACCGTAGAAAGCACGTGGGAGAATTGTGTCTTAGATAAAAAGTGGAAAGTGAAGAGGTTGGATTTCTTTTTAAAGTTCATTTCAACTAAACTTTCAGAGGTGTCAAAAGATGTCTAACATCACTATTTTCTCCCATTGTCGTGCCTTTTGTCCGTTCATCTTGTACATATACCAGAAGGCTTGAATTAAATTGTACATTATCCTTTAATATGAAAGTTTTTGAAGATATATTTTTGTACACACTGTTTCGTGTTGCATTTTTGTGCTTAAACAAGAATTGTATATAGCTGAACTCATAGCGATTTGACGTTTGTTCTGTGGTTGTTCTGACTGATATAAATGTATTTGTTATGAAGTGACTAACGCAGGTCAACAATGTCCTACTTTGTCAACATGAAAATAATAAACAACACTTGGATTGTGAACTTTTGTTTATCTGTCTGATTTGTAGAGAAGATAAAGGGGTGTAAAAGGGAAAAAAAGTAACTTTAGGGACATTCCAGTTTTGGCACCATTGAGCTCTGACTCATGGTCCCATAAGGGTCAGCACCCACACATGCACTGTGTTGTTTACAAGTGCACAAAGGGTGTGAATATTCACAATCCTTAATTTGCAATACAGGATAATGTTTAAGGTGGACAAAATGACTCACTTGTCATTTATTAATCTATGGATTTGACACAACACAATATGTTATGACCACACTTTTCAGAGTCTATGGTATGAAAATTGAGAAACGACACTGAAAAATGACAAATAATTGTTGCCACTGTACGAACCTTTGTGGTTTTATGTGTTTGAAGGTATACCAACCCCCACATTTAGGGCTGGGACAACCCCATATTTACATGATTACAATATTTACAATGTTATAACTAAAAGGATGAGAGGCTTATTAAAACTAAAGAACTGCATTTAAAATTGAAAGCATCAACGATACACTGAAAATTTTACTTTATTAATGTTGCATTCAGGTCAGTCTTGAAAAACAGGGATCCTTCACTTCAAAATGAAAATTCTGTCATCATTTACTCACCCTCTTGTTGTTCCAAACCTGAATGCTTATCTTTCTTCTATTGAACACAAAAGATGATATTTTAAAGAATGTCGGTATAAACAGTTGACAGTAGCCACTGACTTCCATAGTAGGAAAAAAAAAATGGAATAAAGATATAAAAATATGGAAGAAAGAAACTCATACAGATTTGGAACAACTTGAAGCTGAGCTTAACAAAGGACAATCTGATTACTTTCAGTTCAGTTCACATAAGTCAGATCAGTAACAAAAAGCCCTTAAAGAAATAGTTCACTTCAAAAGTAAAATTCTGTCATAATGTACTCATCCTCAAGTTGTTTCAAACCGTACGAATTTCTTTATTCATGCTGAACACAAAAGAAGTATTTTTGAAGACTGTCGGTAACCAGACAGTGGATGGACCCCATTGACTTCCATAGTAGGAAAAAAAAAAACTATGGAAGTCAATGGGGTCCATCAGCTTTTACTGACATTCTTCAAAATATCTTCTTTTGTGTTCATCAGAAGAAAGAAATTCATACAGGTTTGAAACAACTTGAGTTAATGACGACAGAATTTTCATTTTGAAGTGAACTATTCATTTAAGGGATGTAGGAAAGGACAATGTCTAACATACTGATTGAAGAATTATGAAAAAAAATTATTACTTTTAGGCCGAAACACAAGCCTCACTCGTACGTTACTGTGACAGACAATGTGTGGGAAACATGACGCCACATTCGACATTAATGTCTGCTAACATTCACACTGAAAGTCTGACTTTAAAAACAGATTTCACGCAAATAAGCAACACAACCTATTTCAAATTTACAGAATCGTTTTTAGTGATAACAAAACTAAGCAAAGCAAATTGTCCACGCATTAAGATGAGAAGATAAAAATTGTTTAACTTCCCACTTCTCTTCAATCACCTCATATACAGTGGAAAACTTCTATGAAGGGTCAAGTTAATTATTATGTTTGCAAATGGAAATAACAGAGCACAATTTACTTTCAAGTATGAGAGCAACAGTGGCAACTTACATTAATACACAAATAATTAAGTCACTAATAATATGATGCACACAAAATGCTGACAAATCCGAAATGAAAATGATTTACAATCATTTTAAAAGTACTTCAACCGTAAAAATATAAACAGTACATAATAATTAGTGTTTGTGTACAGTCTTTTAAAATAAATTAAACAAGTATTTAATATAGATATATAGTGTGCACGTATAGAAGAGTAAATGCTTTCAATACATTCATTATTCACAAGCAAGGCCACAAAAGAGTTGATGTAGCCTATGGGGTGCATAGACTGGACATTTAAAATCATGTAGTGGTGTTTCCATCCAGTCCACAGAAAAATACTACACTTTTCAACATCTGAGTCAGAGCGAAGACGGATCATGTGCAGAGGCTACAAGTCCATTCCAGTGTTCGTTTCTACACTGAAACCTTAGGACCGGGGTAAGGCTCCCCCCCGCACCAGAAATCATCTGGTTGGGGGATCTCTAAAACCCAAGTTTCATCTTCACCGCTCTGCTCTGACTTTTTGCCAGCAGTTTGCAAAACTTTGTAGTAGTGACAATCTCTCCCATCATCAGGGTCATAAGGTGGTGCCAATATATCAAGAAACGCAGCGGGTCCATCCACTGCATCAATCTCATGAAGGTTGTCTTTGAGAGGGGACAAGATGCAAGGGCCGCTCTGCTCAGAAAACTCTCCTGAAGACCTCAGCACGGCTCTCCTCACATCATCCCCCTGGAAAGGCATCTGCGGTGGCTCAAACTGCCTCTCGGTTTCACTCTCAGCACCCACAGCTTTATCCAACTTGTCATAACACCTTATATTGACCTTGCCATATAGGACCTTGAGCATGCCATTCATCCCAGGATGGTCATGCAGGGGGATGGAAGTCCCAGGCTTCAGCAGAAACACTCCCATGCTGAAGAGATCATTCTCACAGATATGCATGTATGTGACCGGAGGGACTGCTGAGGACTGTGGGGAGGATATGGAGACTTGCTTCGGTGGCGCAATCTTCAGATCCGCAGCCCTTATGTCGGAGAGCATGGAAACTAACCTTGCCTGCTGCTCTAAAAACGCGTTATTATCCCCAATGGCAGAGGAAGAGTTTGCAAAGGTCACACAAGCCTGGCTCGCTATCTTCTGGATCAGCGCCGACTTGTTTCCCGGCATGTTTAATAGAAAACAATCGAAACCGTGATTTGCTTCGAGTCACGCGATGAAAACAAAAGAGCTGTTACGCCGGACGAGATTGACTCACGTGAAGCATTTAAAGCAGTCGAGAGTATTCGTGTTAAAAGTTACTATAAGAATAACTCCATTGAGGTGCAAACATTAATTTTAGCATCTGGATAAAATCCACAGACCCTCGTCTCCACCACCCCATTCATGTCTATTAGATCCACACGTCCTCAACTACGGCGCATGCGCAGAACACACGGGAAGCATAATGGAACTTGCAGTTGTTTTGCGATGTTTGGATTCTAAATAAATCCTTAGAATAGCAGATAAATATGCATACAGATTTAGACATGCCATGTCAATATTCTAGGACACTGCAGCAAATATGTTTTTTTTTGTATACATGCCGTCAGTTTTAATAAGTGCACAATATATCTTATTGATAGAACTACAACACCCAACAACCTCCACATTGTTGACCCTCTCTTGTGAGTATGAGGGGTGGGGAGGCCCGTTGGGCCATTCAACTCTGTCCCTTCCCCCACAATTCTCCCTGGACTACAACAACACATCACCACCACCCTACCAACATCATCAATGTCATTTATTAACCACACAGGCTTGATCTCTGGAGTACATTCATAGAGAAAACAAATGCAACCCAGTGTATATGCAAGCCATATTTATTTATCAAAATGACAAGTGGGCCTAACACTTTGAATGTTTTAAACTGAAAAAAAAGAAAGAAACAATGTTGACTAAATAAATAATAGTTTAAAAAATAACAATGTTTACATCACTGAGTGTTAAATCTCCTTTGTGAAAAAGAAGTGAGCATAATTGTATTGAATGTGGACTGGTATTGTTCTTTAAATGTTTAAATTATAGCCTATTCAAAAAATAAAGAAAGAAATACAAAATAAAAAGAAAGTCACATAAGTGTAATTAAAAAGTGTAGGGCCTACACTTTCAAGATTAGGAGTCTTAACACACTTATAAATCAAATTAAATGTTTCAAAGTAAGCTACATTTTAAAATCATTATTTTTTTTAAATAAACTTTTGTTTAAAGAACTTAAAAAGTAAACTTATTTTGATGCGTCGAGTAGCATTTGATTACAAATATAGGCCTAAATACACAACAAAAGTTTGAATAGAAATTACATTAAAGTTTATTTTATCCATACTCACATTTGGTATCATTTCTACTGCAAAGTAAATGACATAGATATCCACTTAAGTCCTACAAAAACATTCATGTAAGTTTATGTAACTGCATTTTATATAGATTTAAACTATATTTTTATTTTTATTGCATAAGATGTTGCTTTTAAGATGTAATCAAGTGTTGAAAACATAATATTCACACTTAAGTTTATTCTGGTAAAATACTATCTGTAATATAAGTGTGTGTACTTTTCCACCATAGTGTAGTTTTCCCCTATTCCACTATATCAACACTGCATTATGCACAGAGAGTAAATAGCAGGCTAAATCTTAGGAAAGCAATTTCCATTTGCATTTCCACAGACAATGATACCATGTGTGTTTGCAACTGATAGTAACACCAGTAATTTAATGTGTCCAGCTTACATGATCAGATCACAAATTCAAATTAAACTAAACATCACTGTCCCCATCACTGTCAACAACACCTAACCATACAATATAGTATTATAATAATCGTTTTCTCAGGGTACAGTTTAACTCAAACCTTAATTGAAGCTGGTCATTGATGTTTTGTCAGGTTGGCATTGATATCAAGAGAACCGGAAGTGTGGATGGATGGATGGATGGAGTGCAGCACTGAGAAAGTGAAGTGCATCCTCAGGACATGTACATTTGTGCATGCTCACAACAAAGACCATCCTCTTGAGAAATAATGAGGCCCGCTCATTTACTCAAAGAGCAAGCGCATCCAAATACCACTTCCGTTTGGGTAATTCAATTAGATCCTCTCTCAGCAGCCAGGATGCGGAGATCAGACACATGAGGGAGATACTTCATACAGTCTCAAAGGCATTTTTTTAAAGCAACGGGAGGAGTAGGGTGTACCTTTGTGAAAAAGAAGTACGCTTCAGCATACTTTTAAAAAGAGTACTTATTATAGAAATAAAATATTTGCACAATACGAACTGTAACGTTTTTGGACACTTAATTGCATGTTATTTATAATTAAAAAAAAAAGTATCATATATTCAGTTAATATTAACCCTCTGGTGCTCCTCTCGTGGTGGTCACAAATGACATGAAATTAATTTACTATATTTTAGTTTGATAATATTAGGCCTATGCAGTAGTTATAATCCATTTATTCACTTTTTGAGCATATCTGAAAAATACATTTCCAACTTAATCTGTCATAAATCAATGGTTACCAATGGTTTGTAACCTTTACCAATACATACTATGTTTGGTGTCTTTTTTAAAGACGACACTTGGCAGATTATTGCTGAAGAGAAAAATGTTTTTAAAAAATGAACTTAAAAAAGTTATAGAATTTTACATTTATTGTTATAAAAAAATACACAAACATACTATTTTCAATTTTTATATGAGACATGTATCTGCACAGTCCCAAAAGTTTCCATGAAATTGGAAATTCTATGAAATTCATCTCTCATTGATTCCCAACTTCTGACCACAAGATAGTTACAAGTGTGACTTTTTTTTGTCTCCACATAGCAAGTGCCAAAACCTTTACCAAGTTCCATACCATTCCGATGAAGTATAAATAAATAAAAAAGAAGAAGAAAATGGCATCAGAGGGTTAAATGTAATTAGTTCAACTTAAAAGTGTTTTTTGGACTCCCCTAACTAGTACTTACTATCTTCATAATTACTTCTATTTTCTTTGAAATATGGTAAAGTGTATTACCAAATGTAACAAGCAGTTTTGATGAACTAAAATATACTTTATTTGTATATTTGTATTGAAACGTGTCGTGTATTATAATTTTATAATTTAGTGTGTTAGCAGACTTCAAAATAAATGTACTTCTGCAAAACATGACAAGAGATTATTAAAACAAGATCATTTAAAATAAAGTAAACCATTTATTTTGACATTATTACAAAGCTACTAGTCATGAAAGTGAACTTTCTTTAAGTTATTTTTGCTCTTATGTAGTCCCATATACCTTTTTTAACAAATCATTTGTAATAATCAAATCCAATACAAAAATATCAAATTAAAATATGCAAAGTTTTAATGATTCACTTTTAAACCAGGAAGAGTTATGAATCGCATTCCTTTCGTGAAATCTGAGCTTATATTTGTCACATTTGTTAATGTGGTGCTATACAAATTTTTGTGTTTCTACTGACTTGTTTCTACTAACACTTTACAATAAGGTTCATATAACATTAGTTAACTACCTTAGTTAACATGAACAAAAGTTCTACAGCATTTATTAATCTCAGTTAATATTCATTTCAGCATTTACTATAATGCATTATTAAAATCAGAAGTTGTATTTGTTAACATTAGTTAATGCACTGTGAAGTAACATGAACAAACAATGAACAGCTGTGTTTTTATCAACTAACATTAACAAAGAGGAACTAATACAGTAATGTTAAATCATGAACTAATGTTAACTAATGAACCTTATTGTAAAGTGTTACTATATTTAGTATGAAGTATAAATATAAAGTAAACTATTAGCATAAAGTATATAAATATTTAGTTAACGTTTATGTGGTTGGACTTTTGTGATTTATTTGGGTCAAATGGTCGAAACATTGAGTCTCACTCTAAGAGGAATGCATCAGCAAAGGCTTCAGATATGAATTTCAGCTCTTAAATTGTACATTTTTCTCTGTATGGAGAAACTGATATCAAGGCTTACAGTTCTCTTACAATCCCTTTACTGTTATAAATTATTCAGCAGACTTGTATGTGTACGTTAGCTCAGAATAAGCACGTTTTTCCAAGCGAGATGCAATCGTTCTCAGCGGCTAAAGTCCGGGGCAGATAAAGGCAACATTATTCGCCGATGCTTAAAATGTGCATGACTAACATTGCATAAAGGTCAGACCGAATGGAGTTCATGCATCTCTGGTAATTCCAGCCAAGAATCCTGAATGAGCAGAGCAGAGGACAATAAGACTTTCTAACTGCTCCGACATCTTGTGGTGAACGTCCCCATTGTTGTGCTCAATCTGCCGTCTGTTCTGTTATGATTGCTGGTACATGCCTTTGTCAGTGAAGAGTCTTTTATGCCTTCACAAATGAGACTCCATTGATTTCTTGAGGAAACTGAAGCAGTTACTGTTTTTAGATATGCCAGCTATTCCCTCAGATCATAAAAATTCATGTTTTGGCTGTTCGGAAAAATATCTGCATGGCTAAGAGGCAAAGGGCAAAGAAAATGTTGTTGTTCTTTATACGAAGAAGGATCACTCCACTTTAATGCACTGCTTTGATTATGTGTATTCCGTGAATGAGTGCTGTCATTCACACAGCACATGCGTAAGCTTTCTTCGTCATCGCTTTATTAAATAAGATTCCAGCTACACAGCTGATTCTTGAAATCAAGAGCAGTGTGTCACATTTATGCAACGCATACCCAGTGCAACATGGAATAGTCATGTTGAAATGATTTGTCATCCGTATACTTATTGCAAATGGGTAAATGGTCAGTTTCATGCTATCCACAGTTAGCCTGGTAATACTATGCGTCTTGCCACTATATAATAGGCCAAACAGGTCTGATCCATCATTACTACAATTAGCCTGAAAAATGTGGGTAGCCTAAATGTGAAAGCTTGAAGTGTTAATATGTTTTCTTGTTATAATGTATGATTTGCATAAATAAAAACGGCTGCATCTGTGTTGATGAGAGAATCAAAGTGTATGCGCATTGTGCACAAGCTAAGTTACATAATGGCCAAGCATGCGCCCTTAAAAAAACATTATGAACAACGTGCAAAGAGCCACTGATTTTAGTTTTTTACGTGTTATATGGCATGTTGGTCTTTGTTTGTTGTTGCTGGTATATACGTTGCAAATAGAAGGGCGGCAAAATAGTTTTTCGCCTACAGCGGCAGAAGTGCATGCGCCGGTCCTAGCTGTAAACACTTGATGATGCGAGAATGAACATGGCTGTAAACTTTTGCTGTAAACTTTTGCGACTTTTGCTTCAGTTTGAAAAACCCCGGAATGTTCTTCATAACAGAGCGAATTGCACCCCGTGTCTTGTGTCTTCGTTTGGGTTTTCGATTTCTCTAACCTG